CACCTAATCACGATTTCCCACTCCCTTTTATGTGTTCATTTTGGTATCTACGTTGTAAATGTTTTTGAAGTCTTCTCCTCTGGGCTTTGTAATTCGACAACAAATTTACCGATATTATTGCCTGTTTTCTACCTTGCATGGGAATTTCTGCATCCTATATATTTGTTGGCTTTCAGCCTATGTGAATCATTGTGTAAATTGTATTTTTTTCAGCGTGATGAGTTCTTTTAAAGGAAATCTCAAGGAGTCCCAAAGAGCAATGCAGCTGTTAAAACAAAGGGAAAAAGAGCGTCAAGAAATCGAGTTTCAAAAAAAGAAACTCGAAGCCGAGTTGCGTGTCGGTGAGTTTACTACTAAATTCACCGTCCACCATGATACCATGGAAAGTCAACTGAAGACAGACACAGTATGTCATCGATTATCCTTTTATGCCACCTACCGTTAACTAGGTCGGTCTAGTTACATTGGACGAAATGAAAGCGCGCCAGCAAGCCGTAATCACTCAAAGAGAAAAAGAGTTGGCGCTGGGCAAATCTGCAAAGTCAAAAAGCGGGGAAGGACGGCAAGGGAAACACGGCATTGTCCGCAAGGTATGTCCTACTGCCTCTTGTCTTATGAACAGCCACACTCTAGGGTCCAATCTCCTTCAACGAAGATGAAGATGAGGCTGTTTTAACCGACGAGGAAAGCCAATCTACCCTTCAATGCACCGAAAAATCCAACAATCAGTCCGAGAAAAACGCCAATAGCGAAGGCGCCGCAAAAACAACTGAGCAATTCTGTCAAGAGGCGATTGAAGCTGGTGTGGAAGACTTTAGGAAAAAACGTAGGAGGCTTGGGAAGAATCCCGACGTTGATACTAGTTTTCTACCGGATATTGATCGAGATGAAGAAGAAAAACAACTGCGGTGGGTCAACTTTTTAGTCAAATATGTGAATGTTTCGACAAACTTGTCATTACGTATTTGTTTTTATTAGAGAGGAACTGCGTCGCGAGTGGCACGCAAAACAAGCTGCTATCAAAGAAGAAGAAATAAATATAACCTATAGTTACTGGGATGGTTCTGGTCATCGACGTCAAGTTAAAATGAAAAAGGGGCACTCAATTCATCTTTTTCTTCACCGGTGCCTCGATCAATTACGCAAGGACTTTTCTGAACTCCGAGCGGCTTCAGCGGATCAGATGATGTATATTAAGGAAGACCTCATTATTCCTCATCACTACACTTTCTACGACTTCATCGTAAGTAAGGCTCGTGGCAAGTCGGGTCCGCTATTTACCTTCGATGTCTACGATGACGTACGTTTGCGGATGGACGCGAGTAAGGAGAAGGAAGAATCCCACGCAGGCAAGGTCTGCCTCCGCTCCTGGTACGAGCGACACAAGCATATTTTTCCTGCGAGTCGATGGGAACCTTACGACCCTGCTAAAAACTGGGACCAATACACGATATCTGACAAGATGTCGGTGAAAATAACAATCAAATAATTACTCCGGTGCAAAAATCTAGTGTCTTTACCAGCCCCAGGTGCTTGATATTTTTTGCAGAAGACGGGTGACCACGAAATCATGACCATGGCTCCCACCACTTGTAATGCAACCAAAAAGACTTGCTGTTTACATATACTATACAATTTCAAATTTAAGTTACGATCGTATATACGAAATGGTGGCAATGTGGATGGGTTCTATTTGGATCCATCAGCCTTCAACCTCATAGCGTAGTCCCGCCCAGCGGTCATGGTCGCGACGATATTAAGGAGGTCATCTTGGTTTGTCATTAATTTGACGGTTGCTAGTTTTTCTTGGTCTTGGTCCAGTTCCTGTTTCAGTAGACGTATGTCGCCCAACACCTTATCGACAATATCCCGATGCGAAGTCAGTGCACGTTCCGCCATCACGCCTGACATGGCCCGAAGCGACACTGTCCGCGCGTCCACTGATGCTCGTAGTACCTCCACCTATAAATGTGAAGTGAAGTTCCACACCGTTCGAAAACCTGACTGCCAAATAAATTATTGCACGCTGGTCTCATTGAGGGCAGCTAAATCTCCCTAGCTTAATAAATTTTACTTAGTAAAATAGTCATGCATTGTTAGAAGAACTAAGTTCTCAACGTGTTTGATTTAACGACCAGCAACTAAAGGGGACTACTGACATGCCGAGTTCATTGGTCATGGTTAAATACAACATAGCGAGTTTTACTCGCATGGAAGATAGTATTTTACACGAAGCCAGATGGTTCCAAATTATTCATTTCTGTGCAAGTGCTCCCTAGAGCAAATAACACTCAACAAGCAAAGTTGCCTACTATACTGAAAGACACCTGTGCGTGGAGTTTCCTATAAAGCTAAGAGTAGCGGTTACTAATTTTTTAAATTTGATTTGATGTTACCATAACCCACGCCGTAGAACTCAGTATAACTTTTTGCTTCGTCGAAATCAGAGGAAGTGAATCATAGGCGCCTCGAGGAGTTTATCAATCTCATAATGAATCAATCTCCCAGCAGGACTTTTGCCATTCTATGAACTTAAAGCGGTGGTAAGAACCAAGCCAGATTTAGTGGTTGACGTTTTGATGATTTTCGCAGACATATATTAGGGCGAAAGAAAAATTAAAACTGCACTTGCCCGTGGGTCGAGCTTAGTTCGGAGATATTGCGGCGCTGCATCGTGATTAAACATGGCTAAACGATCCTCTGTGGCCTTGGCTAGACTGGTGTCCGTGTCGGTAATTAGAGCCTTTGGAGTTAAAATTATAGACTGGGCGGAAGCAAATCTTTCAGACGCGAGGAATTTGCGAATTTCTACCAGTTCTGATGCACACAAGCCAAGCGTGTTTAGATACCTGGGCCAATCAATGGCATCGCGCTACACAAAAGATGTTAAAGTGTGTTAAATTCAACAAAACCTGGAATTCAATCATCGTCAAGAGGTCAAGTAGCTTCTGCTTTAACTTCGATGCGGATGAATTGAGAAGAAGGAAACTTTCCAAATTGTGTCGTTCGGCCGCCTCCATTCGGGTGCTAGAAAGGAATTCGGAATCGTGTTCGCTAACCAGAATGTTATTAAAAGGTGAAATAAGGGTTAAATGCATAACCTTTAGCCCTTCCATTGGCTACGAAAGGGGGAGCAAGTGAACTCGCTTTATTTATTGGGAATCTAGCAAAATATCTGGAGCGACGTTCTGTGGAAATGTAATGGATAGTAAATTAGCAAACTACACGTTCTACTTATACCGTAGGTAAAATCGGCAAATATGTTGGATCCGTAGTTCCCGACGAGAACATTAGCAAACCACGATCGACGAGACATAATTGGCACGGTACTTGTAGTATAAAGGAGTAGATGGCCACTAAATCATTTCACAGTGCTGTTTAGATTCAAAATATCATTTCAAGAAAACAGAAGGAGCAAAAAAACAAGAGGCGCGCTATTGCTTATGACAAATTTAAATCACAGACTCATTTTAGCTTTGACGCACAAGGGTGCAGACATATTCGTTCACATCGAGTTCAGCCAATCCTCCAACACTTGGGTTTAAGTAATGTGGTGTGGCGTCGGATTAGGGCGCAGACATGTTGTACCACCTGGCCGCAGCCAATCCCGTGTCTCTCTGCGATATAATGGCATGCGGGAAAGGAAGGCAGCCAACCAGAGAAGGACATGGATGAGATGCAGTATATAATGAGCGGCGTGGCCAGCGTGGTGGACTCGGATGGAAGGCGCCTGATGCCTGGCTCTGGCTTCTGATTGGTCAATAAAGCCTGTTCTGTTGTACCGGTCTTTTACCTATTAGTGCTCGGGTATTCTACAGTGGCATCGGATTAGAGCGCAGACATACTGGACCTGCGTCTCTCTGCGTTCCAATGGCATTCGAGGAAGGTAAGCAGCCAACCAGAGAAGGACATGGATGAGGTGCAGAATATAATGAGCAGTGCAGCCAGCTTGGAGGACTCAGATTGATGGCGTCTGACGTGTAATTCTGGCATTTGAATGGTCACTAAAGCCTATTCAGTTTTACCAGTATACTTCATACCAGGGCTCGGGTATTCTACAACTCATAGGCGAAGGTCTGAAGCCAACCAGAAACAGGAACAGATGAGAAGGAGAATCCAATGAGAGTCGATGAAAGAATGAAAGAATTTGATAGGTAATGCCTGAAGGGTCGGGATACCTTGTGTCTGGTCAATAAGGCTTAGTCTGTTGCGCCATTCTTTGTCACACTAGATCCCGAGTATTCTACCTTGTTCTAAAAGCTGCTGTGCACAAATTTGGGGCTGATATAAGGCATCATGCCAAACGCAGTTAATCACGTGTTTAAGCATATAAATAGCCTATGGGAAAAAAGGCAACAAATGATTGATAGGGATGGATGAGAAGTGCTAAGTACTAGGGTATAAGGCCAGTACTGTTGCTCGGAAGAAATTCGTGTAATTTGTGGCTGGTCAACAAAATCAGCCCTTTTAATCCTGTCTTCTTTATTCTAGGGCTTTGTATATCAACACTGACAAAAGCACGTAATCATGCCAAAGCTTTTATGCTCAAAAGCCAAAAATAGGGCTTTAAAATCGACTCACTTTTGGACAATTTTGAGTCTCATTTAAGAACTAATTCTGACAGTCATTTATTTGCCACGTCGAAAAACGGGTTATTTCACTTTTTATTAGTTGTTAAGTGTCGTTAGAATTAAAAGTGGATGCAACCATTTACGTTTATTTCGGTATAGGTAAATTTCCAATATTTAAACATGTGTTTGTATCTAAATTTAAACCTAAATGTATGCATAGGTGTAGTTTGGTGAAGAATCCACCAATCATAAAAGCGCGTTTTTGATCCTTGTTATTACTATATTTGAATATATTTGAGGTCTTCGTAGAATGATTTTTCTGAGAGTTTGCTAAAATGACTGTTTTGCAATGTAAACTTTTGAATGAATTCGCTTTAATTCAGTGACTTCTGTACTCTGTGTTTTTTATTTGCATTTGTGAAATAATTTCTTATTATATTAATAAGAACGATAAATTGTTATGATGTAACAAAACGTAAGATTTTGTAGCAAATCAAATTGAAGATGTAATCTTAAATATTACTGGTTTCTTAACCACCTAATCCTCCTCTGCAATCCTAATTTGTATGCTCATTGGCCGGTATGTTAAGTAAAGCCTCGAAGTGTTTGTGTAGAAAACCTGAGCCCGAGTATGAAGAATACTGATACATCAGATTAGTCTCTTATTGACCAATCAAAAGCCAGAACCACACGTCACGCGCCGTCTAAGTCACAACGCTGGCTGCGCCGCTCTTTATATACTGCCCCTTAGTCGCGTCCTTCTCCGGTTGGCTGCTTATCTTCCTCGCATGCCATTGGAACTCAGAGAGACACAGGATTGGCTGCGGCCAGGTGGTCCAACATGTCTGCGCCTAATCCGACGCCACACCACACTTGCGCCTGATTTTGTTAATTTATCCCAATCTCTTTTAAAGTTTATTTGATTATATATTGATGACAACCTGTGTAATGGTTTATTTTCACTTTTTGGTGTCCAAATTTATCAATTGGCAGTTTTTGTTTCTCACTCCTAATTGTTCACAACGAATTTACACTGAAATATCTGTTGGCTCTCCTATTTTACCAAAATTGTAATTATCGTCTTAAATTTGCATATATTGAAGCCTTGGGAACCGCTTGGGTTTGTTTCGGTTTGATGGCCTTATTTGCCACTATCACCACATATCCAGCTCAAGCTAGTTGTTAACACTAACCTAAAATACTCCTTGTTTTTATATATGGACCCAGGTTTACTGCCATACGCCCAATCCTAACTTAACCGAAACATGTTTATGTTATTTTCGGCTCATGTGTTGCTGTGTTTTAGCCACGTTATGCTGGAATTCGTGATTCCTGTGTCAAGAAACGATCTCTTGAATGCTACTGTTTCATCGTATTCGGTTAACGAAGTAGTTTCTTCGCGACACTTAGCCGCCAAAGTTCAAGGTAACGTAAAGTTCTCATTTTCATCCCTCTGTAAACAAAATCTGCTATAAACCACTGTTTTTCAGATTGCCAGAAGAAACTTGTTCGTGAAGGTCAAAGAGGTGTTCTTCAGTACTTTGACATCTTCTTTAGTGTTTTGCAGTAAGTGGCTTGAGTGTAACACTACGTGCATGTTACCTGTGTTATGATTTTGTTAAATTTTATAGTGAATGGAAGTCAGTAGATGCGAGCACAAAGGAGGATGCTTGGCAAATCATACTAAAAGGTTTGTTTTTTCCTTTTAGCATTATTAACTTTCCAATTTTCTACTATACTTTGATGACCGCCCTTGTAGGTTGCGAACTTTCAGTACGGGAATTGGTTGGAGTAATCAAGCCTACTGAACCTAACTCCGCCCTCAGCAGGAGTTTACTGATCGAAAGGAGAAATGCGATTAAGATGCACTCGTACCTTTTGTGTCAGTTTATAGAGACGTTTGAAAATGATGCAACTGCGGAGGCTAGCTCAGTCGTTGCAAGCAAGGTTAGTTCTACTGGCCAAAGACACGCTGCCTAATTGGAGTTATGCTGCCAGGAATACTTGCATAACTTGGATAAAAAATAAATAATATGCAAATAGCCATGTATGACCATTCCTGATGTTGCATCTGCGAACTGGGTCGATCAACATAAAGTCATACTATCGGATTTGTTGTTAAGGTTATACTATGGTTGTTTGTTAATACTACGTTCCTAGAAGCCAGCCTCACTGCCCGTTTGTCTTTCGCTTGTATAGACGAGTAGGAGTTAAAAAAAAACTACCTGAAATATTCGTCACTTTTGATTTTATGAATGATAAGGGCTTCATTTGGAATGCAGTTTAAATGCCACCTTTTTTTTAAGCACATAATTCTGTTATCAGCGTCACAAGTATTAAAAGTCTTGCAAAGCTTTATTTCTCCATGATCACAGGTTGGGCGAGGACGTGGAAAGACACTAACTTCCGCTGCCAAAGGCCGTCGAGCTGAATCTGACGTGACTTTGGATTGGCCCGTTGAATGCACAAACGCCATCACCGTTCTAGATCAATTATGCAAGCTAGACATCAAGCACTTTTGGGATCCACCCATAGTTGAGGATGATTTTGTCAAGTAAGCGTGCATTCAAACCTTACTGTTTCCCTACCATCCTCGACCACCGTAAGGCTTTTTCTCAAAACAGCTTCCAGGACTGTAGTAGTTCAAGGTCAGGTGCAGTTTTATCCGCCACAGCCTAATTTGCATTCAGAGACATATTATCTGCTCATCGGTTTCTTCTTTAAATCATGGTTAAACCAAAGCCCGATGTGTAAAAATGGATCAGGATCCTTGCGGTACTGTCCATGGTTTTACTGTAAATGTTCTATTCAGTTATAAAATTTGCTTTTGTACTAGTTGATCTTATTATTTCGTTTGTACATGTCTGAGGATCTACTTTTCATGACTACACAAGGTTGTAGATACTATGAAAAAGGTTTGAGTATTTCAAGGCGGATTCATTCATTATTGAAATGATGGGACACATTGCACCTCCCCCTCCCCCTGAGTGTCATATGTGGTGCTTTTTCCGGACCGTATCTTTTGAGCTAATGGAATCCTGAATAGTAACTCCTGGAAATGAGTATATACACCTGCAAATTTACCAAGCATAACAAACGTTGTAGTTAACGCTGTTAACCTGGTAATCTGTTATGCCTCTCTTCTATTCATTTCCTCTAGTCTTTTGGCAAACAGCTGTTACAAACTCCTGGAAAACAAATCGATGGCAGCCAATGCAACGGTTCGAGGAGCCATCGCGGGTCTCTTGAGCACATTAATTCAACACTACAAACACGGCATCCCTTGTTGCCTGAAATTAGCTCAGATGCTCCAATGTTTTGCACACACAGCTAACGTCCTCAATGTCATGGTCAACCAGTTCATGACGGATGAAGCTATGATTCCTTTCGTCAAAGAACTCCTAACTGTGAGCATTATGGTTGCTGTTTTTCAGATATTTGTCAATTTTATGAATGTTTCCACATAGATTCGAGTTTCTTTGTTTGGTAATAGCCAAGCGTAACATTGATTTCGAAGAAGCTTTTGATCTGTCATCATTGAATTTGTATACGGTCAAATTCAACGGTTTCTCTGTTATAGTAACATCGAAGATAATTTGAGTTTTAATTCACTTCAGCTGAATGCAAAATCCCTCACGAGGAATTTTGAAAACATCTGTTTTTCATCTGTGGCATAAGTTTGGCATGTTCATATTACCAATGATTTGTGGCATGACCAACCGATATTGCAGCCCTGCCAATGGTGGTGTTTTGGTTGTGTAACAGTTGTTTCTCCCTGGCGCTCCTTTAGGAAATTTGCGGTTATGACAGCGAAGACTTGGAGCGGGATTCGGCCGGGACACACAACTTTTGCGCCTTCCTCGAATCTGTGTCGTCAGCACATCCTTCACTGGCGACCTCCATCCTTCCGCTGATTCGTGCTCGTCTCTCCGAGGACCCCTACCAGATGCGCAACTGTGCCCTCAATGTGATCGGGGAGGTACTGCGTAACCTCTACACCGGCCATCCTCACCTCGAGGGAAAGGACAAGATCCAGCGAGATCGTCTAATGGATGTGCTGCAGGTGTACCCTCGTAGCGATGATTTTGGATATTTGCTGTCATTGGCATGGGTTCCAGTTTCTTCGAGAAAAGGATCACTGTCATGTAGCTTACATTGTCATCACCAGCTACTTTTCTCTTGTCACGCATACTTGTTTCTGGGTTTTGCACGACCTTATTTAGAAGCATATTTTCATTCTAAATTGCCACCCTAAGTGCCTGAGTCGTTTTTTCGCCCACCATGTTTAAACTCATTGATGCGCGTCCATTCCCGTTTATTCGGATTTCACTCAGAACGTACAATCTCAAGCCACCAGTCAGTGCTTATTCTCTGGTTTTTTTGCTTTACTTGATTAGTTAACTGAAAACTGGCCTTTTATGTTTGCGTTGAACAAAAAGTTGGCTCTATTGCAATTCCAAAGAAAATCACTTTTGTGTTCGCGAGGTCGCATAATCACTCCGAATTCATATTATGTTTGTTTAACGGACCTCTTTCCCTTTTCCAAGGAGCATATTCATGACGTCAATGGTTTTGTGCGTGCTCGGGCTCTTCAAATCTGGTGTAACATTGCTTCAACTGGGGTACGTTTTTCTCAATTCGGTTATTTTACTCCTGGTAGCCTTTCCTTGTCCTCGCCTGAGCTTTTCCATGAAGTCTAATCTCTTACCGAGGTCCTCGGCATGTAGTCTCAAACCACGCCGTGGCCACTGCGTAGAGTTTAGCCCGAAAATGAAGAAGATTGGAGAGGGCGAAGCACAACCCTCTAATAGACAGCTCAACCAAGTTGCGTCGTGCGTGCCACAGTTTTGCATGTCTAACACACTTCAGGTGAACTAGTCAACGCACAAGTGTCTGAATAGTCAGGTAGATAAAGTGAATAGTGTTGGTACGGCCCCGGTCTTATGCTTTAGGTGGCTTGTGATAATTTGTTTACTTCTCGATGCAGGGTTTACCCATTCGGCGACAAGTTCAGCTGGCTCATTTACTGGTTGGACCAGATGGAGCCGTCAACGATGTATCCAGTTTCGCCCGAAAAAATGCTCTGCGTCTCTTAACCACGATTATTGTCCAGAGCCCAGCCGTCAAGGTATGTTTCAGTAGTCATAACCCACTGATTAGTGCATAGAAGATGACCAAGTTTGGAAACGGACTTGAGTAATATTGCTATTTGATAACTGGCATTTTCGGTGGAGCGTATTTTCGCGTACTACTTATAGTACTTAACATTGACGCTGATGGTTACATTGGGGGTTATAGTTAGAATGCCTAACCAAAGAGTGAACTGCCTCAGGTGCCAGCATGACTTTTTCAGCGAAATCGGCCAAGTAAATGTTTTTTTTAGTTTGCATCTCAATTGTGCCATTATACGTTGTAGCTTAACTCCGAGGATTTGGCAAATGTATTAAACAAAGAACAAACAAGGCTTCATGCATTGGAGGAGCATTTTGGTGAGAATTGTGTTTCTGTTTATTTGGAGATGATTTGTGGACATTAGTTCATTTCTACTTTGTCTAAAGTATGCTGGTAGTGGATATCTGGTCGACAATTGCCTTTTTTCTCTGTAGTTCGCCTCAATCCGGACAACGTTGGGATTAAAACCAGACCAACTACACAAGGTGATGTCGAGGACCCTGAAATTCGCACTTCAGACGACATCGACAACGAGGAAGAATCGGTGGGTTCAAATAAGGCTTCCCGTGGGTGCCGTGTCACCCGGCAACTTGATTCTGATGATGAGGAAAAGAAGGCTGTCGAGTTGGGCGCTTGTGAGGCGGCAGCCGCGCTGGAAGCGGCAATTCACTCGGCTGCAATGGTCGCTCAGGACGAACAGTGCGGGACCACTCGGCCCCCCATTTCTGTGGAGGTGGCCTTTGAGGCCCACAAAGCGGACCTTGTTCGCCAACGGGCTTGCGTGGCTTATCTGCGCGAAATGCAGCGCTTTGCGGGCTACATGGCCACGGCTATTGACGATGTGAAAAACATGCTCCACTCCAAGACTGTGACAGACGTACTCGAGGCCATCGATTTCTTTCTGACGGCGAAGCAGGCTGGGGTGAGAAACCTGGACTCCGCGATTCGCCACATGATGGCTATGATATGGTCACAGGAGGAGCAGATCAGGAAAGCCGTTCTTGATGCCTGTCGGTGAGTGCGACGCAAACTCTGCATGGCGATCGTCGTGTTCCGATTGTGATATCGTAATTCATCGAACAGTCCCTGTTACCGCTTCTCTAGTAGCAGTGATAAACCACTTCGCAGTTACATTTTTTCATGCGTCCATTTTAAGCATTCACACTGCGGTGTTAGGGAGCCGCAAACAAAAGTGGCGAAAGTCAGTTTACGTCGTCCCTTGAATGCAAAGTGCCGCTTGAGAATTCGTTAGCAAATTTAACGGATCGTGTCTCGTCAGTTGCATTAATGGAGCCGGGTAATTTCACTTTAATACTTATTTTGTACAATGAAACGAATTCCATGCAAGACGGATGGGTGGTCAATTTGCCAGAATATCACCAAAAGCCGATTTTTACCATTTAATAAGATGGATTGCCCCTTTATCTATATGCACCTATCGTGACACACAGGAGGAGGTATGCGTGGGCATCCACAAAGTCGCAGGCATAAGGGGTGGCGTCTCCTGAGAGTTTAAAGAAGTTGTACATGTGTTGGACTTCTAAAGTCCTTATTTGATTAAGTCGAGCTACGTTTTATCTCATATTTGTAGAGCTTCATTGTCCTTTTGAGAATTTTTTGTTATTCTTGATTTCAAAAAATCTGCAGTTGGTCAGCAGAAGGTATTTGCGTTTGCGTTTATTCCTAAAATCAGCACTTCGAAATGCAACTCTGAATGTCAATTCGGTGAAAGCGCGGTTTCATCACTCCTGACTTGGTTCTTGTAAAGCACCCAGGGTTGAAGTTGTGGGCACAAGCTGCTGGCCAGTTCCATCGCTTTGAGTTTCCTTAACATTTCCGCTAATTTCAGCCACGTTCGTGCATTCGAGAGGCTTGGCATGTCTGCAATTGTGGGAATTCCCCTTTCTACATGTTTCATTGAGTTTGTGTAAATACAAGTTGTTTTTTAGTTTAGATTCCATCTAAATGTGCGCAACGCTCATTGGAGGAAGTAGCAAGTTTCCGCATTGCGCACCATGGGGCATATCGAAGAACACTATCCATCAACCATACTTTCGGTTGCCATTAATTTGACTATGCTCACTTCAAAAACCCCAGTAATCGGGGGCCATGTGGCCTTCCACTTTTTTCCTGTGAATCCCCTTTAGCCGCCTCTACTTCCAGCCGGACATTGTGAATGAGTCTTTCACGGCAGATGGTCGTCTTTCGTCTGCGGCTCTGACCGTCGTCATTTCCACTCTAGTGCGTCTCATCTCTGAGTCGACAATGGGCGACTTTGTAAGCCTGGAGCACATCCTCCATAAGCTCCTCGATCTGCGTCACGTAGACGATGACCTAGTAAAGGAACTCTGGAGGCGTTTTGTCGATATTGCTTCTACGATGACGGACAACGTCCTTGTACCCTATGAACGGCGACAAGAACTGAAGGCAGTGTTGATTCTGCTCAAAATGATTTCGTTGTAAGTGCAGCCCACGCGGCTCCCTTACCCTTATTGTCGAATTCTTCACCGAATCGTAATACATTTTACACAGCGCATTGCGATTTCCCTTTGTGCCCTATGCATTCCGAGCATGGACTTGCTGCTGTTATTTTTGAAACAATTGTTTCACGATGTCCCTCGAGGGTTAGTTTGTTCATATGTACTGACATGCATACTGACATTTTTGACCCTCATGTTCTCCTACTTAAATAGTCAGTAGTTTTTGTTGTTTCATATCAAAGAATCAGTTTCTTCTTCTTCTTCTTCACAGCAAATAGGTTGTGTGATTGCCATCTTGAATTTATCATGGTTACTCCCATCTCTATCTCCCAAAACCACACCTTAGTGAAACCAGCTTGAGTAGGTTCATGCCATATATTGGAATTGTGGTCTAAAAACATTTGATAATAAGAAATGGTTTTGTGAATATCCATAGCAGTTTGTAGAGAATATTTTGCCCCAATGCCAAACAGTGACAAAAGTGAACGCTGGGAACAGGTGTTGTGTTTGCATTGCTTAAAACCGAATGAGTTACTATTTAAGGCCGTATGAACACCACTTACTTGTACTTACAGGCCAAGCAGGAAGAATCTGGAGAGGCACTTGAGCGACCTGGTTAATTACGGTCTCGGAGCAACGATCGGTTTCGCAAATGTTGACTTGGAATGTGCCATGTACGCTTGCATGGTGATACAACGGATGATTCCCACAGAACAGGTAAACAAATGAGAAAGCCGTTCCTCCTTCATCGAGTCAACGTACTGTTTTATTTGTGCGTTGCTTTCGCTCGGTGGTGGGTTAGACGCAAAGCATTTGCGTCAAACCGTGTTGCTGTGTCTTATCGGCTGCTAATTACAAAGCTGTAATCTCCTCACAGCTGCCTACCCGATTTCTATTTTAATCGCAGTTGGGCAAGCCAAAAAACCACTCGGTTCGTTCTACCCCCGGTAACTCGAAATTCCTCGGACCTTTTCGGCTACCGACCTCACACTCGCTTTGCACATCACTGCGCAGGCTCCTCATTTTAACGTTCACTTCTGCCTCTCGTATTCATTGGATTCCTTTGATGGAACAGGTGAGGTGCCCACAGCAGTACTGTCTTGTTTGTCAATGTTTTTGGCTAAATTAACACCTCTAATGTAACTTGCTTTATTCACTCTGGATGAATCGCATGTAGCTGCGCTGATTTAATGCGTGGTGTAATGGTTTCACTTTTTCAGTCAATGCACTGGCTAAGTTCGTAACAGACAACTCGGCCAATTTGCCAGCGTCAGTTCGAATTGTAGTTGGCACAGTCGTCCCAATTTAGCATGTGTAGTCATTAATTTCCGTCTCGGGTCCAGTGGGCTGTCTTGTCACTCGTTTCATCGAATCTGGACACGACAGAGTCCATGGCTATTTTTGGCTAGTTGAACGGAAAGGTGTTTGTTTGCCTGACTAGGCCGTCACGACGATCTTCCAACTCATCGACACCCCAAGTTTGGTTATGGCGGAGGTGCTTCGCGAGATCGGTGAGCAGTTTCTCAAGGCAGCCACTAAAACGCCGCCGCCGCCGCCGTCGTCGTCGCAATCGCACAAAGAAGCGGAGCCGGAGAAGCGGAACCCCACTGTTGCAGAAGCCGAGGTGGCAGAAGATGCGTCTGGTGAACCCGCAGATGCCGACACCACTCCACAGGTTGGTAATTTTTAGCCGTAGTGAAGATTGCGATGAATGGTCCTGGTGTAGCCATGGCAAACGCATCCTTCTGTGTTGTGTTTTGGCTTCTGCCAATTCTACCAGTTTTTTTGAATGTACTCCTGACTCTTGTGTTCTCTCACAGCTTTGCGTGGCTGCTGTAACACTTGATGGTCTGCACATGAGATATCGTAAATACAAATTTCTGTTTGCTTTTGCCTAATCCCACAATCTGGTGCTCTGCTTAATGTTCCCCTTTTCGTTGTTGTTCAGCCTCCATCTTCTCAGACTGCCGCGCCTGTCATCCCATCTTTCATACTGGCAAGGTTTATCGCATTGGCTGGGCACGTGGCCCTAAAAATGCTCGTTCACCTTGAATTTTCTGTCCTGAATGAAATTAAACGACGCGAAGCCATCCACGAGGAGAGTAAACAAGCCCGAAGACGAATTACGAAGACGCCGAAATCACTGAGAAGGGTACTTTATTTGTACTTAATTATATTTAAAGTAGTTTGGAGTTTTACGAAATGTTTCTACAGGTTACTACTCTGGATGCATCAACTCAAAGTATTAGTGCAACTGGAGGCCACAAGTCTGATATAAGTGGAAACGCTGGTAGTAGCACTTTGGAGGAAGAGGCTGCTCTTCTTGGCGCCGTAGCTGATGATGCTGAAGCAGACTACATTAGGAGTGTTCTCAATAACGAAATTGTTCTTCAACCCGACCACCTCTTGGCACGTCTTCTCCCTTTGGTGGTGCATGTTTGCACGCATCCCAGCAAATATGCCGATCCAGACTTGCAGGCGAGTTCCACTTTTCTTATGAGATAGGAGTTTCAAGTACCTTCTAGATAGGCGTTTCGTGAATCATTTTCTCGCCTATGTCTCACCTTTGTCTGTTCGTAGCTAATTTTCCTAAAATTAAAGCTGCCCAGCAAGGTTAGCTGACATTGCGTTCAGCAGCATGACTGACTTCCGTTATGGGTCTCATACGTGTCGTAGACGAGGTGAATGTTTGGTCAGTTTTGGTGCCAGCACTTTTGTCTTTGCTGGGAAATGCGGGCTTCAGACGATTACTTTGTTATGCGATGGTTAGTCTTTTTTTTCCCATCAGATGTCGGTGGCTGAGGCGTGGGGCCAACAGGCGTCTCCACCTGCGTTGCTTACTCCTTTTTTCTCCTTCACAGGCATCGGCGTCTTTGGCGCTGGTCAAATTCATGCTGGTGAGCAGCAACGTCTGCGAGCAGAACCTGCAGCTCCTCTTCACACTGGCCGAGCGCAACCCCTCGGAGGTGGTGCGCGCCAACCTCATTGTGGGACTGGGCGATCTGGCACGTCGCTTCCCCAACCTCATCGAACCCTGGACACCGAATCTGTACGCTCGTCTGAGGGACCCCTCTTCGAAAGTGCGCATCAACGCGCTCAACACCCTGAGTCACCTCATTATGAACGACATGGTCAAGGTAGGGGGTTGTATGGTGTATCGCACGCCCAGTGTGTTCCATGTTCTATGTGTCTTTCCCAAATTCGTAAATGTTGGCTAGACATTTCGGTTTTGCATTCGTGCTCGCAAAACGGTCCCTAATCGATATTCATATAAAAATACAATAAGCTAAACAACTTCACTAAGTAAGCATCTTCTGAAATGGTTTTTCGAAATCTGTTGACATTGTCTACGTACGATTTTTGGAGGTGTAAGAAAAGTTGAAAAAACCAACCGCCAAGGTTGACACATTGCAGCATCGAACTCTTTCGCACTAATCAGAAGTAAAATTCAGTACAATTTCCATATTTAAACACGTAGCACTGAAATAAGAAGGGTTTCCCTAGGTTACTATTTGAGAATTTCACCTATCAAAAGTAATCTCTCGTTAATTGGCTTCACAATGAACTCAGGTGATGGGATTCCTGTTGGCCTCGATTAGGGGTCACATGTTTCCTCGAAAATTCGTAGATCGGTTAATGTGAAATCGTCTCGTTCCTGTGTAGGTCAAGGGTCAGATCAGTGAAATGACAGTGTGTCTGGTTAACGACAACGATCGACTGCGGCAGCTGTCACGTCTCTTCTTCCGCGAACTCGCTCAGAAGGGCAACGCGCTCTACAACGTCATGCCGGACATCATCAGCCGCCTCAGCGATCCGGAAGTGGGTGTCGACGAGACCACGTTCAGATTGACTGTAGAGTAAGCTATTGTGACGCGGCGACTCTCATAGGTTGAGTCCTCTTTTTATGTTTAAATTTTCTCGACCGCGTCTTCTAAAACAACCATACTTTCGTCAATCTACGTGAAATCCTCACTCCAATAACCCCCTCCAGTCATTACCTTTTTGCTCATAATCTACCTGACACATTAACCAAGTGAATCCGAAATCCCATTTAGCATCGGCTGTAATGCTGAACTGGTGCGAAATCCCAAAATATTTACCCGTGTTCGGCTTCAAAAATACGTAACCGGAGTGGCTGACGTTCCATCCAAGGCTTTACTTCTGCCACGAGGTTGGGACTTTATCTGCACCATTACAACGTGTTTACACAGGCTTAAGTGTTTCTGGGACTGGCATCGTCTGGGCAATATTTGGATCAGCTGTGGGTGAATGTTCACACAGCTTACGAATCGGCCGGTGGCAACCGAAACGCATCCTGGGTCAATACTCAAAAATACCTTGGCTCATTTAAGGTTCACCGATTGTGGTGGAATAGTAGTCGCAATAATTTAAGCTTCTAGTCTCTTCATTGGTTTAAAATGGTAATTTTGTAATCAGAATTCGTTTGAGGTGGGGTCCACTTCTAAAGGTGGCACCTTTGGTCCAGGAAATCGTAAGCGGACATTATTAACCATTCTATGTGGTAATAACCAATTTTTTTAAATGTACCTGTTCGTAGGTGCTAGTTCTTGCCTTGTCTCGTTAGACAATACCAAACATTATTTCTTTCATAGCGTAAATGGCCTGAATAGACCTATAAGGGACAACGCTGTCCATAAAATTGCTATTATGGAATGCCTGGCATCGTTTTATTAATTTGGGAACGGTACAACTCCGTTTGCGTGGGTTTCGCCCTAGGTCGCTTGCTTCTGTTTGTTTCTGTCGATGCACAGTCTTCTAAACATCATTTTAGTTTCCTGATACCTCTAATCGAGAAAGAACGCCTTTGCGAAACTTTGGTGGAGAAGATCTGTTCCCGCTTCCGAGTGACACAGTAAGTAACACTTCTGGACAGGGCGACTTTCTCCATTATTGATTTTTGTGGTTTTCCAAGACGTGGTAACTTGTCCCTTCTGTAGATCGGAGCGGCAATGGCGTGACCTGGCCTACTGCTTGCGTGTAATGTCCTTCAACGAACGGATGGTGCGCACCCTGCAGGAGAATCTGCCCATCTTCGCCCAGCAGCTCTCCATCCACGACGTCTACCAGTCATTCTCGGAGATCCTCGTCAATGCGAAGAAGAATGCCAAGGCCGACAACTTGCCCCAATTGGAAGAACTTGAAGCCAAGATTGAAGAGGCACGTTTGCCTTGAGTACACCACCTTCCCAAGTGCCCGAGCAGTCAAATTTTACTAAAATGGATTCTGGCTCCGTTGCCACGCCATTTTACAAATTGTATTGTCCTAGAATTACTGTTTTCTGATGCGTAAAAGTATTTCAAAATGTTCGATGCCATTAGCTGAAAAAAAAGAACACACGTGACCACCCTGTTTCGTACAACAGAAAATTTGCTCATAAAAGCGGCAGCACTTGTCGTAAATCGTGACGTGCGGAGTAGACCCACCGAGGCCAGATTGAAGTCGTAACAGCCTGCCTAAACAGCGCTAAAGGATGCCTCTTCTAGTCGGTAATATCTTCGTGCTATTGTACTGAAATTGGCCTATTTTTTGTTTTGTGATTTTCCAGTTTCACCAGAAAGGCGTGGCGGACGAGGAGGCTCTGCAGCGTGCCGAAGTCATGGCCAAGAAGGCGGCAGCGAAACGCCGCAAAACCGGTTCCAACAGCCGCAAGTCAACCCGTCGGGGCCGACCGCAGGACGCCGATGTCGACGACACCCCCGAGAAGCCGACAAATCCCCGCAAAACGCGATCTCGCGCCGCGGTGGCCAGATCGCGTGTGGTCTTCAGTTCAGATGAAGATGAGGACTAATTCCCACACGTTTGCGTCTATTCTTGTGAATATTCTTCGTTATCCGTTAAGCTCAATTTGTAACATGTGTCTGTGTAATAAATTAATCATTGTAATTCACGCTAATTTGGTCTACAAAGAGTTTCTGAAGAATACTACCGCCGCCACCACCTGTGCTTACCTCCTCCTAAGCCTGATTCAGAATTCTGTTAAAGGCTTTTCATTTTTCAACTGTGAGATATTTTAAGAGGTCCTTTGGGCACAGGCGTCTGCACATCTGGCTACTTAATGAATATGAGCCGGGGTAAACTGCAGGTTCCATCACATAACAACGATAAAAGGTCTTTCCTTTGAGAAACTCCTAAATTGTCAATATTTATCTCAGTTCTCCCGATCTAAACGCGACTTGTGTGATGATTGTTGGTTCCCGTCCGTCACAGCTGTTCGTGCATTACCCGAGCCGGGATGTTTCGTGCCTCTGGCCCTTCCTGCTGGGCGGAGGTCTCCATCATCGCGCGGCCCCTCGCGCACGCACGCACGCGCGCACCGAGACATCCAGGCGTGGTGCGCCTTGCCTGCCTTGAGTCGTGTGCTGCCCCCTCGCGGCTCGCAGTCTGTCTCAATCTGTGCGTTGTACCGGTTGCCAACTTTCTGCGGGTATTCACTTGAACGAAACGACTTTGTTTAGAGTGCGCCCCCGCTAATTCACATTAATTTAACGTTTAAAACATCAGGGTGTCCGCCTTATTTGTTTGTCGCGGGTAGCCTTCAAGCATGGATCGAAAATATGGCTGCATTCGAGACCTACCCATTACAAGCCTTGCTCTGCGATGATTTTTTGGGTCACTGACGTAAATTAGTTGAGATCCTGCAGCATCACCTCCTACACCATGACTGCAATCAGCCATGTTCTCGCATCAGACGGCACCTGCACACAGAGCTTCGGCAATTATCACACCGAGACTAATGTGGGACAGATTCTTCAGTTTATTGTGCTGACAGGCGCAACATAAAGTGCTCGCAATATGTAGGCTAATCGAATTTAACTCATTTGGGTATTCCGGTGTCCGCAGGTTAGTGAAAAACAACGTCACCTCAGGCGTCGTGGCCGATTAACTAGGAATACGCTGCTCCTGCACGTACTAGGGCGGACCGAGGGCGTCAACCGAAATAACCAAATCAACCAGCTGTTTCCTCACAAAACGTAACTAGTCTCGCCTGCAACTGAGCATTTTAACTCTCTCATTTTTAATCTAACGTGCTATTGTAATGAGAACCGGCGATGCAGTCCGAACACCTCAGAAGAGTGAGTAATGCCCGAGAATTATAAAGTAAATGTTGCTGGTGTAACTAATTTTGAAGTGTTTAATAAAGGCTTAATTGACTCCACATTTTCCCCCGCTTCTCGAATTTAGATCTGTTGTTGCAAAGCTTGAACTCAGGATCACCAAAACTTGATTTATTGAAGTGCCAGGATTTCCATTAGTAATTGCCGATTAGTTGGATGGTAAATAATCGAAAAGGGGTTAATTATTTGGAGGTAGGAATGTTGACAAAAAGGCTGACTTGAGGGCGGGGATGGAGCTAACCAAAGAGGATGCCTACTCTAAATAATGTGTTGGATATTTAGAAGAATTTTGGAACGAATTGTGCGGAGACACTCGTAGCTGGCCAAACCGCCAGCGATAGTGGAGGAACCAACTACACATGGGAAAATTAAATGCACAAGATATTTCTAATTGCATGTGGCCTTACACGTACAGGCGTTGTTAATCACTTATTGTGCCAGTGTATGATGCAGGGTGTTTGTCGTCTAATGTGGTGCGATTTCTTCATTGTTCAAAGACGAGTTTACTCATGCGTCGTGATGAGCTCCTCATTCTACAGCCACCGACCAAGTGCTCACGCCTCATATCTTGACTTATTTATAAGTAAGACCTCCGGCTAGATGAAACCCAAGTTCTCTATTGGTGAGTACTATGCGCAGAAGCGGCAAATCTTTATGGGATGTCAAAGGGTGCTTTAAATAAAGTCAAGGATAGTTGTGTCAATGTAGCACATGTGGTAACTGGTTTAACTGGGGCTTAACAAATACTCAGTCTGAGCTTGAATTTAGGTACCAAAGTGTTAGGTCATTACGAGA